GCAGTGTGTCTTAAATGCCGCTGGAGAACGTTCTTGTATTTGGAATGGGGGAATGGGATTGGCTAGTTTGTCATGCAAATGTGTGCGCATTTATGTATTCTATTATTTTCTTGATGTGCATGAGCTGTAAATACACTTGTTACTGTATAATTAGGGCTTATCTACAGTGTGATGAATCCTATGCATGTGTCAGCAATGAAAAACAAACTGACTAAGAATGTCTCAGAGGAGTGTGAAACACACACTCACATGAGTGTGAACACTTTTCGGAAATTACTTTCCTGCAATGAATAACAAGCATGATCACATGGCAAAGATGTCATTGAAGCTCATTTGTTCTGTTTGTTTCTCATACCACTTATGCACAACAGCTTACAGATACACATTGAAGGGCACCATTAAGAGACACCTGAGAGATCCGACACACAAGAAATTCTGGGCAAACTGGACAAAATTAAGTCTTTAAGTGGAGTTAAAATGAACAACACAGAGGCTGTATACCAGACGGGATGAGCAGGCTCTGTTTATTAATCAGAGATCCTTCAATATGTCCAGAAAATGATGGAGATTTTCTGTCAGTCTGTTGTGGTGAGTGCAGTTTACTTTGCTGCAATCTGCTGGGAGAACAGCATTGGAGCTGATGATGCCAACAGACTTAATAAACTGATCAGGATTAGCAGTGATTGGCTGGACAGTGGACACTTTTGAAGCTGTGGTGCAGAAGAGGTCACGGAACAAACTGTTGTCCATCATGCATAATCTTGACCACCCACTGCACCACCTAGTGGACAGGCAACAGAGCACCTTTATTACACCACTTCCTGTTCTGGTAACTGTCCACAGGGAGATCTCCTGAACTCTTTTAACCCACATTTAATCATTAATTTCACTTAACATAAGAATTTCACAAATATATGATATATAAAGTATCCATCATCATCATTGTCATCTTATGTTGACTTAAGTAATGTGTTTAAAGACAACTGAAATTAAACTGAAAAAAGACTAACATGATTTTGGACATGAAGATAACTTACCACCTCTGCTTACAAAAAGAAATGCTTTGTCCCCGCCACAGTTCTGCAGGGACAGGCTGCATGTAGTCTTTCTCTGACATGTTGGACTAACGTGATGTATGCTGATCCAATCCGGTTATCTGACAACACAATTTTCTGGCTGCTTCACCAGCTGGATGCCTTCCATTATTGAGGTTTGCCTAATAGCAGACTAAAATACTGGTCAGCCAGACACTGATTGACAGATGCATTAATACAGACCAGACTGAGCATAATGATTATAGTGAAGATCTGCATAACTAAATCATTATAGTGCTGCACATGGGCATATTAATGCATGTGAAATACCTTTAATATCTTACAAACGTTTTGCCTTTTGAGACCAAGAAAGAGCATTTACGACTGAAGCTGATAATAGTTTTTAAAACTGAATAAAACCAGTTTTAAAAACGCTTGGAGATTTAACAAACTGAACAAAATCACTTCAGCACTTGATAATGGCAATTTTTAAGAGCATATGGTTTACTATAAGAGTTAAGACATACTAAGTTTAAAGATCACAAAACCAACCTTCCAGAATTTAGCGATATCTTTTATTTAGAAAAATAAATAAAAACAACACAAAACATTTTATACAAAGAAAACAAATGTACCTTCACTTCATCAAAGCAGATTTTAAAGTCAACATATTTATAATATTTACATTTTTCATGTCATAATATTTCAAATATGTATTTTTTTATACATTCATTAACAGATACTACAAGACAAATGAGCAATAATGAAAACCGATTTTAAAAAGTCTTGCATTTTTAGCTAAGATTTGAATCCGCAATACATTATTTGACAGAAATGACATCAAGAGTTAGATTTTATGCTGAGGCATGAAGAAAAAGGTTTTTACAATCATAGTCAATGATGCAGCAACCTGAGGACTCTCAAAAGGAACTGGACACGTATGGAGGTGGACAAACAGCGTTGTATTTGTTCAAGCTGATTATGAGATAACGGTACTAAACTAAAGTGAACTAAACATGTTTAGGGGAAAAAATGATTTCACAAACTGTCACCTATACATCTATATGTTAAATTATGGCATCTGGGGTGATGCAAAATACACTAGGACATCCAGTACACATGCAAACACGCTCATACTGTGTTATTGGGTGACCTGCTGTTCTGTTGTAACCCATTTGTGACCTGCTGAGTATGATCTGTATTGCTTGATGTCACCATGAATGGAAAAATCAATGACAAAGTTACTCTTCTCTTCTGTCCTGTTACATGTGTGTATATGTGTGTCTGATTGCCAAGTCTAGAAACATGTCAAATAAAAGTTTTGTTACTTGTTTTTTAATGTTAAGTCAGATAAAGATGGAATCAGTGGTACAAATCCAGCAGGTGCATTTTAATTTGTTTTTTAATTAATCCGTTTCTAATTTAATCCTTCTAAGGCCATGTCCTTGTGTGCAATCAGATGGGTTCCAGCACTCCTGCTACATTCTGTCCCCAGAAATCAAATTTTGACGGCCTCGAGACAGCAGACCTCAAATTCTGTGCAAAACTAAACTAGCTATCATGTGGAGAAGGTTGGCATTTAAATAGTGCTTTTTAAGTTTCACTAACCACTCAAAGCACTTTACACTACAAGCCACATTCAACTTTTCAGACTTGGTTGTACTACCCGAATGACTTTGTGGTTGCTAGCAATTTTTAGGTGAAATAAATTGTTAAGAGGGTTTTGATTGAAAAAAACCTTGTTGCTGCTTTGCGCTGATTTGCCTGCAAACACTTGCTAACTAACAACCATGTGGCAGTGAACCTTATAATGCAAACGAGAAACAAAGAATGTTCATCTTCAAAGTTAAAGCTGTGCCTTACTGTTGAAATCAACATGTTTCAAAAGTTACATCTTTGACTTAAAACTGCTAGCAGTTCCTAGGAGGTTTTCTTGCAGTACCATATATCTCTGTTCAACCAGTTTCACTTAACTGGTTGAAAAGTAGGTAGGTATTCTCTAACCTGGCAAGTATTTGCCAGGTTACTTATTTTGCTCTTCCATTGGTTGCCAAACAGTTGTTAGCCAGTTTCTCGGCGTGAGGCCTAACTCAGCAGATTTGGCTTTTTGTGAACTTGTGTTGTTCAAAGTGAAATTTAATTTGAACAATAGAAGTGGTTAACTAGTTAATGTGGGCATACAAAAATTGCATAGAGCAATCTAAAAATAGCAGAAGTGCTCAAAGCCATCCATTGGTGCTCAAGGGGGATGACCTTGAAGTGGAATATTGGTGGGTGTGGGCGAGGTTTTCGATTTTGATTAGTCACAAAAAATGCTTTCATCTTCATAGGTGAATTCCTAACTGTGGAGGACCTTTGTATATCTTTTTTTACACTTTTCATTAAAGTTTTGTACTTTGTTTCTGTCATTCTGAAATTTCAGCAGGTTTCAACACGTAGAGCTTTTCAGCAAACACTGTGTGGGTACAGATGGAGCAGGAGCTGAACACT